ATGTGTAATATTGAAGACTTTAAATAAGGTGCGGATGGCAGTGTCTAGCGAGATCAGTCAAAGCTGCAATATGATGTATCTTAAAGGGATCTGTTGATCATATTGAGAAGGGAAAAGCAGATTACAAATTAATTAAGATCGCACAGATATTCAGTCTCGAACTTTGTATTGAAGCCGCCCGGAAAGCGAACCGAACCAGGGAATGGGGGACAATAACATTCCCTACGTCTTATTTTCGTCTTTTCCGGCACAATCTGTGCGCTCTTCAAGCTCATTATAAGGGTGTCCACGCGTGTATTTCACCGCAAAGAGGCCTGTATGAGGACGTTTTTTCACATCCAGAGTCCTCCGTGTGTGTTGCCTTATTATACTCCCGCAAATCTGATATCTGGATGAATCACTAAGAAGGGAAAGGTGTGGAGTGTATGCTGATTTTTTTTTTTTAAGAAGAAGGAAAGAATGACCCTGGAATCCATAATGGCGTGTTGCCTGAGCGAGGAGGCGAAAGAAGCCAGGCGGATCAACGACGAGATCGAAAGGCAGCTCCGTCGGGATAAGAGGGACGCACGCCGGGAACTGAAGCTGTTGCTTCTCGGTAAGCTCGGTGGGGACAAACGCGGGGAGGAGGAGCAGGGCGGCAAACTCCAGGACATAGGAGAGGAGGGGATGGTAGCTGATTGAAGTTTGGGAGTGGGTGTTTGTTTGAGTGGAGTGCACAGATTGACAGGTTCAGCCTAGGAAGGAGATGTGATCTAGTTGGGCTTGTAACTGACTCCATGGTGTTGAAAAAAAGCAAAGAAAAAAAAAATACAGATTAAAAAAAAAACCCCAGATCAGAGTAAATAAAGTGGCAACAGACATTTACTACTCTGCATTTTGAGCTCTGTCTCGCCTAACCACAGGCTATGCAGCCCAGGCCTTGACGGGTCCATCCAGGTGGTGTGTCAAGTATTGAGTGGGCCAAAGTCTAGCATTTTATTAGGAGTTGCTGTATTGTCAGGGTTAGGTGCTAAGCTACAACACCTAGCCCTGACAATGATTATATCACATCTGTCCATCAATGAAGCAGTGTTGGCTGGTGAAGGTTTGTAAACCATTCCATGTTATTTGCATACATTTTTCAGTGGAAGAATCTTTCACATTATTGGCATGTGCATTTTGAGTCTAATTGAATGTATGTCATTTCATAACACAGATGCACACAGTCCATCTATCAAACATCACATACTTCTCATCTTGTTGAAGTGTGGTCAGAATACAAAATTGTATTTTTACATGCTTATGGAGTACATATGTTTTTTATATGTAATTCTGAAGTTGATGATGTGAATCAGCATCACTTTGCCAAGCACTGTCATCAAGAACTAGATCCAACAGTGCACATTAAATGTTGCTTTTTATCCCATTTGCTGTTTAATGTGCAACAAGCTTTAGATTTGAATAATGAAGTCGAACAAATGATGTGGATGGCCGAGAGTAATGACAGTTGGCTTGTATCAGGACAAATGTTGCACTTCCATGATGGCACTGACTTCAGTGATTTAACAATAAATAAGTTGTACATCTAGATGACTAAAAATACTTAATAGTAAGTACTAAAGACTCTATAATCACTGAAAACAGATCTTGACCTTTTTCATTACTAAGCTGTTTTGTTAATCTTGCATTTAGTTTTTTGTGAAACTGTCTGCATCATAGTTGTATACAAAGGGAAAGAAGTAGTTTATAGTCAGCCTTAAAGGCTATCATCTTATGTTGTCATCCCAATAATAAAATAATAATAGCTGTGATTTAGAAATGCAAGTATACATTCACAATGGACTCACAAATTGTTGGGTTACTTATGTATGTACAGTTCGCACAAACATACACCTCTTCAGACAAACAGAAATATATATTGTGATCCAAACATAAACAGTTTTGATTATCTAAATTATCCTATAGATGTAGCATCCTTTTCAACATCCTGATGGCACAAACAACACCTGGAGAGAGGATATATACAGTGCCTATCATAAGTATTCACCCCCTTGGATGTTTTACCCCTTTAGTGCTTTCATAAATCAATTATAGTCAATAAAATTTGGCTTTTTTTAATACAAAAATGTATTGGAAAAAACTCTTTAATGTCAAAGTGAAAACATATTTCTACAAAGTAATGTCAATGAAATAAAAATATATAAAGAAATATAATTGTTTGCATAATTAATCACCCCGGTTGGGAAATCTAAGATACCGGCATGCCATGCGTGACAATGTACTGTATATATGGTCAGTTTTTAATTAATGTAGGATACCTCAGTTAGACACAAGAGGGCACTGTTGTTGTTGTTCGAGTGTTGATAACAGTGTAGGGAGGTTCGTGAAGGGTAAATACGTGATATGATTGTTTTTTCTCTCTTTTTTCCCTTTAAGGGCTCCGTACGATTTTGCCAGTGTGTTGAGAAAATAATTACTAACAAAGAGATACTATCTAATATTATAGGGAAACTAACTGTTGAGAAACTGCCTCTTAATATTGAGAAACTATCCTCGTCACTATTATCATTTATATTTTGGAAAATACTGTATGATTTTTTTCCACACTGGTGTTAATTACTGTGCTTAGTAATCAATATTTTAAAGCACTAAAATATACATTAAATTAAAGTAATTGTATAAACTACTTTTGCGCTAAAGAAACGTTAAAAATTGGACGCAGTCACGTGATGTGGCAGCGGTTGTCGTTGCTGTGAATCTCAGTTGCTTCGCTTCTCCTACGCTACATGCGCAACGTTTCCTGTCAATTCTGCACTCATCTGTGGCAAGGACTGGATAGTTTTGTCATCACTTCAGTTTTCGTCACGCGGTCGTTCACAGATACTTTATCTGACCATGGGAAACAGAGACGACGAGTATGATTTCTTGTTTAAAGGTAGGGTGCATAAGTGTTTATAAATTACGCAGTTTATTGAAATATGTTTCTGGGAAATATCCAAAGCTCACACTAACGTTAGCAGGCTAAGGTTTAGCGTCGTCAGGTTATATCATTAGCTGGTGTCAATAAATAATGTTATTTAGCAGCTTACTAAAATACTATTTAGAATTAGATTTAACGAGCGTAACACTGGTTGTTTGAGGTGTTTGAGGTGAAACAGCATACATTTTGCATTACAAATGAAGGCACTTAGCCTCACATGCTAGTAGCTAAGTTAACGGGCGGAGCCGTTAGCTGCTCAAGAACTCGTAATTTCATAATCCTATACTGATCTGTTGGTCCGGTTAAATAATTTTATATTTCAACCTTTTCCCAGGGAGGTATATAACATTTTTCTAAATAATTGTTTCTTTTGATGCGGAAATGCCTCTGATAAATTATAACGAACTCGCATCTTAAAATCCATTTACTTCAAAACAACGTATCTCGTTCTACTGTAGACAGTGTTAAAATCTATGAGACGTTTTCTAGTTAGCCAATTAGAGAACTAAAATGTGCTGGATACATTTTAAATGTGTAGACAAATTGTCACAGATGAAAGTTGCTAAAAAGGGGGGTGTATATATATATATATATATATATATATATATATATATATATATATATATATCCTCTCTGTTCTTGAGCAGATGCATCAAAGATACCTTAAATACCTTAAAATGTGTCTATTTTTGCACCTTGACAATTTGGTTTTTCATTTTTAAATTGTTATTTTTCATTTTAAATGAGAAACAATTCCCTTTTGCCTGTATTTAAGTGTGTTGGAATTACTCCCCAAATTACAGGATTTGAATGAGCTGAATGTGACCTCTCTTTTTGAAAACAGACAAATACTAGTTTCATTGTCGCCTGTAATTTCTTTTAATACCTAATAGCTCAATCGTGCAAATGTCCACAGCAATCCTTTACTATTATTGCATACAGAATATTCAAGAATAGCATTTATCTTTAGCAGCAGCTGCTTATCAGTCGGCCCTATCTATATGGGCTATTACATTTCTGAGTGGTTATGTAGCAAGCCTCTAATGACTCTAATGACAATGATATGTGTACACTTAATGTCTTTGAATATGGAGACATTGAGAAGCTTCAGCGAGATCCATTACGCTGGAGAAAGAGAAATGTTTCCTGTAATGGTTTACCATGTATGATTCACTTGTAATGCAGCAACATTGTGAATTATTATTCATTTAAAAATGCAGTCCCATTTGTAAAACAATGAGAACTGTGGTGTTGGCGTAGTTTAGCATCAATAGGAAGTTGGTGATAATATGACCTTGCTGACACTCTTAGACCATCATGATGTGCAGTAGTAGACAAACACATACTACAGCATATGGCAAACTAAGTCATATCAGTGAGTCAAACATTATCTTCCAGGCAGCCTCTGAATCAATAAGGAGTTGTGTGTTTTCTTTGGTGCCCTTGTCTCATGTTGGATCAGTGGAACCACTCATACCACTTGTGGTCAAGTAAACTGAAGGGAGTTCTCAATATGTTTTGTACAGTTCCATTATCTCATGCACTTTTAGTGATAGCATTGATCCCGGAAATTTCTAAATGTTTGTTTACCGTAAATCATGAAAATAAACCTTTCTAGTTTCTAATTGTGTCTATGGAAAAGTAATCACTTCAAATGGCACCTCTGTAGAATGGCCGCAGTGCTGTGACCAAACTATTCAGTTTTGACAGCTCTTACGATATTCATTTGAAACGTGTCAATCTCAGCGTTACATATATTGCTTACCAAATACACTAATATCCATTCAAGTTTATTTTACTTTGCAAATGAGTCATAATGTTAAGGACAAATAAGAGGACCAAAAGCAGTGTTCATTGCTGACCAAAAAATCTCATACCCAGACTGGTCACCTCAGTATATAACTCCTGTGACTCACTCGCACCTATTATTATTGTCCTTGTATCATTATTATGAATTAATTATTAATAACTATTGGTTCTGAAATTGCAGTACAAAAAATTAACGTTCTAAAAAAAAAGCATGCATTGTAACACTGTCATTGCAGAAATTGTTTTCTCCTTTTTAGATACTAATGTGCACGTACCACCAGTTTAAAGATTTCACACCCAGCCATTTTTCCAGAAGCTAACAGGAACTAGAGCTAATGAATGAAAATGAGTCTGTTTTAGAACTTTTACCTTCTCACATAAATTCCCACAGTTTCAGTAATTAAAGAATAGAATACATTAGAAGAATATTATCAGTTTCTAAGGTAAAAAGGATGCAAAAAGAGAAAATACAGCAAAGAAGTGCCAATTCTATGGTCGACAGTTTGATTGTGCCATCGTTGCCATTAATTATAATTCTTTAACAGTCTTTTTCCCCTTAAAAAGCATATCCAAGCAGACCCTGCCGATTGACAACATCCTGTAACGGGGCTATAAACTGTTGTGACTACTGCACAGGAACTATAAACTGTATAAGGGAAATGCATTGACTCTTGCCCAAGAGTATTAGTAAAATCTCTAGTACACCCCCCGTCCACCCTCCCTCTCTCTCTCTTTCTCTCTTTCTCTCTGAATTAACTCACTCATCACGTACTGCTAAGCTTTTAGCAATTAATTCATTTCCCCTGTTCTCCTCTCATTCATTTTTTATAAAGATGTTGAAGCATACATCAGCATTTTTGTATCCTTTAACCCATTTGGAAAAAGGCAACTCAATGCATTTGATGCTGTGATGCATTTAAGGACTGAGGGATTGCCAAGTGTTCCAAAATGTACCTGATGGCTGAGCGGACAATAGTAAATTAAGAAGCCTTCCCCCATACCACATAATACATTTGATATAATATTGATATTCTATGCAGTGTATGCAGAGGGTAAGGGTTTATGCTTTACTTATGTTTTATCACAAAAGGAGAATGTTTGTAAATTTCACGCCATTAAACATCTGAGGACATGTTTGAAATTAATTTCACTTAATGGTATTAAGGACTTAGAAGAATCATCAAATCAAATCCGGTAAACTTTAGAGTTATCCAACAACTAAACTTCACGGTGTGCATTATTGTGTGTATATATATCGTTCGTTTGGTTCATTTGTATAGATTTAATTTGGAATTGTCCGTGCCAGGCTGCGCCCCCACCTGCAACATGTCCATGTCCCGCCCCCTACATTGGAACCATTGCCATAACCTCACATGTAAACCGTAAGTCCTCATGATTCCCTCCAGACTCACACAAGAATAAGACAATCAACATTATACTTAATGCATTAGGTAATGGCATCAGAAATGCTATGGCTGCTATACCTGCTGTGTGAACAGAGCCAACGTTTGCTCATGCATCGATGCGTTTTATATGCACATAAATATCAGTATTTAACGATGGGTGTTACAGTCCATCATACTAAATTGCAGTGGATGCCCAACAGTGCAATTCAGTATTACTGGTTACACACAAGGGAAGAGATGCATTAGTCATTAGCAGTAGTCGCTACATGCTGTGGTTCAGATTGTACTCACACAACTGTAGAAGTTAAATCAATAGTTTCTTGTGAATGTCTTTTTTGCTTATTCCTAAATTGTTGTCTTTCTTTGTGTTGTGGTCAGGCACTGGTGAGAGTGGAAAGAGCACATTCATTAAACAGATGAGGATCATCCACGGTACCGGTTACTCTGATGAGGACAAAAGAGGTTTCACCAAACTGGTCTACCAGAATATCTTTACTGCCATGCAGGCTATGATCAGAGCTGCAGAGACACTCAAGATCCCCTACAAATATGACCACAACAAGGTATATTGTTTTGTTTTTTTTCCTGTTACTCAAGGCTTGCTCAATTCCCTGGCACCACATCTGAATAGAATAGCATAGAATAGTCTTTATTGTCATTATGTTCAGTTAAAACATAACAAAATTGGCGAAGTCTTCTTCGCAGGTGTATCACAGATACATATATACAAACATTACTTTGTTGTAATGGTCACTTAAATAAACAACAAAACAACAAGCAGCAATCAGCACTACAACAACAACAACAGCAGCAAGAAATGTACTTTAAATATAAATAACAATGTAGATTTAAAAAATATAAGAGTTTAGTATTTGTAGTGAGGTTATTGCACAAGGTAGTGTGTTGTGGTGCGGTGAGAGGATGAGTTAGTGTGTGTGTCAGCCTGTTGGTCCGGGTTCTGATGCACCTGTAATGCCTGCCTGATGGCAACAGTTCAAGGAGATGGTGTGTGGGGTGGGATACATCCAGAGTAATCCACTCTGACCTGCTGAGGCATCGCAAGGTGTAGATGTCCTTCAGGGAGGGGAGGGGGCAGCCGATAATCCTCTATCTATCTTCACCACCCCCTGTAGCCTCCACCATTCTGCCTCAGTGCAGAGAGTGAACCACACCTAGACGTAAAGGGTAGACAAATCATTTGAGAAAAAAAATAGTGACAGACTGCAAAGTGGCAACAGCTTGCTCGTGCTGCTTCAGTTTAGTGTCTATCTCATTTGGAACAGACGCCTATAATCGTTTCCTGCCCTTTTTAGCACTTCCTCTAACACCACTTAACCCTCCTGTTGTCCTCGGGTCAAAATGACCCGCCACTGTGTTAAAAACCAAATACAAATTCCCTAACTGATATTTGAAATTTAATGACTTTTCCTAGATTGACCTCAACAAAAAGTGAATTGTTGCCTATATTCATGTTTCCATGTAAGCTGTACAAAAAAATGATGTTTTATTCTGTCTCAGATCAATCAATAGCAGACATAAACAAGACAAGACAGGTGGTCTTCTCGCAGACTGCACTGCCTGTGACCCGATCTGACCTAAATGTAACATAATGCCCCTTTGTCTGTGTGGACTCCCAGAGGCTATAAAGGTGCTACAGATGACACTACCCCGAATTCTCTCTGTGCTGAAGCCATAAGTGTGCATTATAACATTGAACAGGCTCTAGAGCTGATGTTTTCAGATGTCCAACTAGATAACCCTGATTCGGAAGAAGACGGGGAGGAATACAACCCAGAGCATGATGAATCATTTTCAGAAGAAGAAGAAAACCCCTGAAGCTGAGAGAGAGACTTTCCTTTCAAAAAATGTCAAAATAACATGGTCCTTGGCAGCATATGACAAACACGGCAGGGCGGCAAAACAAAAGGTCATGAGGATAACCGTAGGACCCACAAGATATGCCGTTTCTCATGTCCATGACATTGTCTCAACATTCTCCCTGTTCATCACACCAGCAATAGAAAGAACAATCCTGGAGATGACAAATCTGGAGGGTTTTTGCAAATATGGAGACAGCTGGAAAATGATAGATGAGACTGACCTGCATGCCTACTTAAGGCTGCTAATCTTAGAATTCAAAACTCCTTTTTGCACATTTCTATTCTTTCTTAAGCTATAGAAATACTATACAAATATTGCTTACCACTTGTACAGTAAACAACAATACAATTGATTGTGTCATAGCAATGAGTGATGTCTTGAATAAATTCTTTCTGCCAGGTAAAGAAGGAAAACTCAGGTATTCACACAATTTGTGGTGAATGACAAGTTGTTTCTTCAAGCAAAATAAGATTTGGTGTTTAAAATTCAATTAAGCTGCTTATATTGGGGGTTTAGTGAAGACGGGTATACAGAATATATGCAATCAAACCCCAAACCCATGTGTGCGTACTTGTGTATCATTCTCCATAAATATCACTCTAACATGTGTCTCTATCATTTTTTAATGTGCAGGAATCAACTTGTCCTGCATTTGTAGGATTTATCAGTTACTATCCATCTATTTTCTGTCAGTCACTAATGAAGGGAAGTTGTGCATGTGAGTCAGTTTCTTAACTCAAACCCATTGTGAACAGTGAGTAGGAACAACCAAAAGGGCAGCTGAGCAGGGGTTGAATTGATCAGGTTTTAGATGCAGTCTTAGAAAAGTGCTGACTGTAGGGACCGTATATTGTGTCCTTTTGGCTATAGCTTTAACACAGGCAGAAATGTTTCCCAGTCCTGATCAGTCAGAATGTTTGCCCATTTATTGTAGATCCACTCATTAATGAAAAACATTGAGGCCTGAACTCGTGAAAACAAATAAGCATAATTATATATATACTGTATGCAGTGTTGTGATAAATCCATTGGTTTCACTTCCAATCCCACAAACTGGTGCTGACATGTTAACAAAAGAGGAAACTTTTTCATTCAAGAACAATAGAAATTAAAACGCATGCCCTGCTCAGCAACACACTTTTTAAGATCCAGTAATCTGTCACCTGTTCAATATGCACTGTGTCAGATTAGGGATACTTTTTCAAATTGCAGCAATTTTATGTAAATTCATGCAACTGATATGTTGTCAGACTTGAATCACCATGATTAGTTAAAAACAGGGAATTTAACCACAGCATGCAACTTTGTTAAGTGTAAATGTAACATACATTGTTTTTGACATTTCGTGCAGTTATTGTATGTCTAAAAAAGGAAGTATTTTTGACATTTACTTTTACTATCATCTCATGGGAAGTGAAAATGAAAACTGTTGTTCCTGTTGGCTCTGTCTGTCTGGCATTTAGAAGTAAACACAGACGGCGTTTGAATCAAAGTCAATCAACTTGGCACTGGCATATAAATAACATCTCTTCAATGACATACGGTATAAATGATGTCTGTTCATAGTGTTGTGACAATACCATTTTTTACAAACTGATATTAGTACAGCAGGGAAATGCTTACAGTCAGACTTATATTATTTTCATTAACAGAAGGCCATTTCAATCCAAAATATGATTTTGTCTCTGAGTATCAGGCCACTGGATTGCCATGTTTTCAGATACAAATATGAGTATTTAAATGAAGTGTTTTATCAGTATTGCTGTGTCCCTAGTGCTAGATTTTTTACCATTCGGACTGAGCTGCTATCATCAGACCATCACTGTATATACTTTATATAGTATGTATCTCACAGTGAGGCCATATATTTCTGTCTACTACACCTAATTTCATACCCTTAATTAAGGTAATAGTTTTAGTTAACTAAATAATTTGAAGTAAAAATTATGACTTAGTTCGCACTGGTTACAAGTAGATCAGCACCACATGAGCTGTGGAAAATTATTTCACCTAAATGAACTGTAAACTATTATTGCATAAATGTTTCTTTGCTTGTCAAAGCGTGAAGGGCAGAACAATTTAATACTCTTTTGCTAGGTGGCAGCAGATGGCTATGAAAACTAAAAAGAAAAGATAGTTGAAGAAGATCTTTGTGAGTCTCTTTCTTTAATTCCTGCCAGTATATCAGTGTTGTCTTTAACTAAACAACCAATTTGAGGTAATTTAAACTAGAAGATTATTAGATTTCATTACATATACTTTTTGTGAGATTTTTCTGTGGTGATGTGCTACGGGATTGTTCCTGGTGATGTATGTACACTCTGTCACTCAGATGTACAGTACGTATATTTTATCAGCCTGAAAGTGGTTTATGTATTTGTTTGTGATTTTTGTACTCATAGCGACGAAAGTGATTCCATACACTGTGTCTACCATGTATATTTAATATAAATAAACCTTTATGGTTTAATTGTTGCAGCTTTCTACTTTGTATTAGCCTTGAAAAGTGTATTACTGCATGGAGAGTAGCTAAAAGTCTGCTAAAGCACTTGTGACGATATTTAAAATGATTTTTTTTAAAAGAGTTCAATCCTGAATAACATGTCACCTTCTTAGAAAATGCTTCAGGTTGTGGATCCACTACTTTCAGTCAGTGTTCTTTTAAGGCATGGAAAAGTGTGTCGACATCCCAGCACATATTGATCTCGTCCTGGGACACAACACTTTTAATGAGAATTCTGGAGTGGGAAAACTTCCCCCTTTAATAGGCCCAGTGGGATTTGAGCCTCAGATATTAGGTCCATGCTGAGCCTCAGGGTACAAATACATTTCAGGATTTAGGAAGTGTGCAAGATCAAAAATAAACCAGCGATAATTACGACTGTCCAATGTGCAATTTAGAGACTCTATTTAAAATTTGTTTGTAATGCTTTTTTTTAAAACTCTGTCATGTGATGTGCCTTTAGTTGCCCTCAGAGCCTGTTGTTGCTGAGCAGTGATGCCAGTTCTAGTAAGAGGTTTTACCTCCATCTTTATTCCACTAGGGTAATGCCAACATTGTGAGGGAGGTGGACGTTGAAAAAGTGACCATGTTTGAAAATCCATACGTAGATGCAATCAAGAGCTTATGGAACGACCCAGGCATCCAGGAGTGTTATGATCGAAGGAGAGAATATCAGCTATCAGATTCCACTAAGTAGTGAGTACACTGAAGAAAAAAGCACACTGACTCTTAATGCTGTATACACTCACACACCTTTGACTTTTGCATACTGGATACTGCATACTGGATACTGTAGTAGTGCTTTTTTTATTTTATATTATTATTTTATATTTATTATTTTTATTAAATATTATTATTTCTAGTGGCGCAGAATAACTTTAGTGTTTCTTTTCATCTCTTTCTGTAGTTATCTTAATGCATTGGACCGAATTTCGAACCCAGCCTACCTGCCTACCCAGCAGGACGTATTGAGGGTTCGAGTCCCAACAACAGGAATCATTGAATACCCCTTTGACCTGCAAAGTGTGATATTCAGGTGGTAGTCAATGTAACTGTGTGTGATAGAAAAAAGTTGAAATGGGTTGGATTGTTCTGTTAGTGTGTGGTCCAGCAGAGACCATGGAAGGACAAAAAAGGACTTTACTGCCTTTCTTAATTTTGCTGTTAGCAAGATAGTTGAGATTGGGTGGATGGATGAATGACTAGCCTGTCAGTCAAGAAAACAGTATTTCTTTTCCTTTTTACTGTTGCCAAGCAACTTAAGATTCTGCTGTAGAGATTGGATCAGTGCATGGTGAATGCATAGATGGACAAATGGATGGTTGGTTGGATGGATTGGCCCAGAGAAATTATCTGTGCCAATTATATGGCAACTCATCTCGAAACATTTCACTGAATGCTACCTCTCCCCTCACTGCCTCTGCCATGGCAGGATGGTGGATGTTGGGGGTCAGAGGTCGGAGAGGAGGAAGTGGATTCACTGCTTTGAGAACGTCACATCCATCATGTTCCTGGTAGCACTCAGCGAGTATGACCAAGTGTTGGTGGAATCAGACAACGAGGTGAATAAATATGTACATGTTTGTAATTCTGTGTTTGGAACATCACATGATAGGACTGTGTGATATCTGTTAATGTGATTGTCCTGATTTAAAATGATAGAAATGAGATCTCCACCCCCTGTGGTTTCCTGGGAAAGCATGTTGAAAATGATCAGCCAGATATAAAACTCCTGATGTCTCTCTGACATGGGCTGCTCTTCCCTAATTCTGTCTGCCCTCCCTATGATGCAGTTAAACTTTATTCAAATCTGATCTTAATGAGAATTAAACATGGTTTAGTTAAAAGGTCCATCCCCCCACCCCCCACCCACTCTTGTGTTTGTATCCTCACCTTAATTCCCTGTCTCTCCTCATTCTCACATCAATCTTTCCAGAACAGGATGGAAGAGAGCAAAGCTCTGTTTAGAACAATAATCACGTACCCCTGGTTCCAAAACTCCTCTGTAATTCTGTTCCTCAACAAGAAGGACCTGCTGGAGGAGAAGATCATGTACTCCCACCTGGTTGACTATTTCCCAGAGTACGACGGTGAGAGACCACATCATTACCACACAGACACACATATTTACTGTAGGCTACAATTAAAAGACTGATACTGTTGTTAGATCTACTGAAATAAGGTACAAATAAGACAAACGATTCCAACAGATTAAAGCAATGCTGACCTTTAAAAAAGTAGGAACAAAGTCTATCCTGCGGTCACAAATGCAGTTACTGCTCTGCATTACTGCACCCCATGTTGTTGTTTTAACACATGTTTACATCAAAACTGTCAAATTAATGTATTATGATTTTGCCAAATTATTCAGATTAGATTTTGTATCATATTGTAACACAAATTGACATGCACTGTATATCCAATAATTCCACTGTCATCAACTTAATGTTGCTTTAATACCCAGTCATTTTACACATTTGTGTAATTTAAACAGACTGCAAAGAATAGTTTAATTCCATTGAAGCACTACAGGGTTAAAAATCATCTCAATACCCAGCCTGTGTTTGTGAGGCTTCAACTTAAGGACACTAAGCTTGCATCAGACCAGTGTTGTTGAGAACAAGGACTTCATCAAAGTTTTAATTCCTATAACTCTCAATACATTCTACAAGCCACACAAATCACAATTAATAGTAATTATAACGTAATTATCATCATGATAAACCTGTGATTAGCCCAGCCAGCTATTAATCAGATCACATTTTTTATCATTTGAGTTTGAATTTTTAAGTTAATTTTACTCAAACCTATTTTTTGCACCTTTTTTTATCATCTTAAGAAGACATTTCCCTCTAAGACTAAATAAACTTATGATGTTACAGTGATGGTACATAGATCTAGGTGATTGTGATGGGACCGCTGCACTGTACTTTTTGACAGGTGTACTGTAATTCTCCAGGTCCTCAGAGAGACGCCCAGGCAGCACGAGAATTCATCCTGAAGATGTTTGTGGACCTGAATCCAGACAGTGACAAGATCATCTACTCTCACTTCACCTGTGCCACCGACACAGAGAACATCCGGTTCGTCTTCGCCGCTGTCAAAGACACCATCCTGCAGCTCAACCTGAAGGAGTACAACCTGGTGTAGAGCAAGGCGGGGCGGGGCTGCCAATCAATGGCCCTGCAAACACACACATCTGATATCTGAATTGAGCTCATGTCAAAACAGACACACGTGCATATGCTAATTTATTTGCCATTTGTTGATCTCTTGGTCCCTGAGTTGTGAGCAGAGGAAAACTCCTGCTCTTTGAAGATTTGATACAATGTTTTAAAGCAGGAGAGAAGGATATTTGGAAGGTTGTGGAAGGATTTGCTGTTTGTATGTTTGTATGAGAGCAATGACTTTTAGGCTTTGTGCATTGTGATGTTTTTCTGTTAAGGGTTTCTTTTTTTCTTTTTTTTTCAGAAAGAAAGAAACTTAGTGCACTGGAGGTCATGGGGGCTTTTTTGTCTCAGTCTGAATTAATGCAACATCCTTCCCTTCCTCTAACCTGCTTCTTTTATAAACGTATTTTTTTAATTTTTAATCATTCTCCCAACCCTCCTTTACCTTTATGATGTAAGAGATGTCTGATTAACAGCTTCCTTTTCCTCTTTAAATCTGATGAGAAAGTATGTTGAGTCGACATAAACTGTGATGTTTGCATTATTTCCTAATCTGTTACTGGTTGACTTAAATCATAATTACATTGCATTGACTTTGGTACCATCTTATAAGAAGGGCACGTGTGACCATGAAAAGACAAATTTTGGGAATATTTGCAGTGACCACTTTACACAACTGAGCTAATGGTGAAACTTGGATAGTTGGCCATAACAGAAGTTGAAATCCTGCCAAGGAGAAGCCCAGGAACCACAGCTTTCTCACATCAGGACAGAACTTCTTACAGAAGGAGGAGGAGGATTTATGCCACAAGTGTTTTATTCATTTCTGTTGGACTTGATTTCTATGCCACATTAACGCTTTTTTAACTATGGTAGTGTGTATATTTATTGCCAATGCCAAAACAAGTCATGGGCCCGGCTCCACTCTGTGCTGTATACTTCTGTGAAAGGAAGGAAAAGTGTTTAAGAGGACGGAGCAGGGTGATGAAGTATTAATCAAACAACAAAATGCAATTGATATCTTTAGGTTTTTCACCAAGTTGATGGTATTACACATACACACACACATTCCCACAGGTGTATTATGTGCTCTGCAGCAGTGGAGAGTATATGTGACCACTCCCTCAGTACCAGGGCAAAGTGTTGATTTTTTTTTCTACCAAAGAACACTTCTATAGAACATACACCTGTAATTTTACATTTATTGAGACAGTGCAATTATGAATGCTATTATATATATATATATGGCAGCATCTTTGTTGGCTTTGTAATCATTTCCTTTTTTGGCAGATTGAATGTGCCGTATGGAAAATATGTATCTATGTAATTGTACTGTGTCCAATGAAAAATTCATTTTTTTGAAGAAAAAATATGTTATTTACACATTTGTTTTTGTTGTTTCTTTTGAAAGAATGAATGTGAATGAAATCTTTAAAATATAAAATCCAGTATAAAGAGAACGAGCAGCACATTGTTTAGATTACCAAGAAAATATATATATTAATAAGTATACTTTACATGAGTAGTTTTTGTTCAGTCTCCGACTCTTTTCTGTGGTTCAGTGCCTGCAGCATCTATGTGGAAGAAGAGCGTTGACAATAGCTGCATGTTACACGTCACATCATTGAATATTCTTTACTTTATGAACTTATGCTAAGTGAATTTAAATCAGATCTGCTTTTAAAATAAAAAAGAAATAGTACTGGACCATCAGGTTTGTACCTCATTTCTACAAGGTAGGACCAAGAAAAAATAATTATGTAATCCATTTGGATGGAGTTATAATGGTACAATGTGCAGTCAACTGAACTACATTTACATACAATGTATGAAATACATACAGTACATTTCAATGCATCTATATTATTATATTATCCTTTTATTTTAATAATTCCCAAAATACATCTGTCCTATTTATCAAAAGGTTTCTCAAAGAAGACGTTTCACCTCTCATCCAAGAGGGTTCTTCAGTTCTAACTGGTGGTGGGGAGTACAGCAGATATATACTCTAGGTGACAAAGAAGAAAGCTACTTCAGCTCCACCCTTCTGGGTGGAGTCTTGGGTCAACTGGGAAAGTCGTGGAACAGTCGTTAGGAGTCTGAAGGGACGTTGCGATCCTGTGTTGGGCCATGTGCCATGTGTGTAGTGGTTGTTTAGTCTCAGGTCCGTACACCCCTCACTGCACTGAACGGCATAAACCACATTGTCCAGCTTGTTCCTTTGTGTCTTGTCTTTGGGATGAACCAGTTTTTGTCTCAGGGTGTTACCAGGTTTGAAGTGTACAAGGATCTGATGTTGGTTAAAGATCCTCCTAACTTTTTCTGAAACCCATGCGTGGAATGACGTTCTCCCTCCTGTTGTCCTCCCTCTCTGTTGGTCTCTTTTTGTTGGTTTTTAAAAAGGCTGGACTCCAGCCACATCAATTAATGGGCGTACCTTTATAAATGGTACCAGACACAGTGTCACATCAAACACACCTTCAGGATCTTAATCAAATGACCCTACACTGTACCTCGCCTCTGTCACTGTTGATACTTTACGACCCCTAGTGGAGACACGGAGACATGGCAGTGACTTCAGTGTGTTTCACGCCCTGATCTGTGCTGATGGCTACTTCCTTTTTTATCCTTGTTTCATTTGCAACTGGTGCTCCACCCTTCACTCCTCTCTTGTAATATAACCATGACTTTCGCTTAAGCACAGCTTCTCTGGATTCTTGACTTTACTGTCAGGATACTCTTTACCAGTAGAGATTACTGTAACGGTGCATATCTATTCTTATCCAGTTTAAGTTTGAATTTAGTGGAAGTTTTTAAGTTGTATTTAAGGATAACGTGTTGGAAAAAGTACATTTAAAGATGATTTCTATCCTCTTCCCTCTTGTGAACTTGTGAACTTGTGAACTTGTGAAGTGTGAGAGAGCCACAGACACACAGGACAGGTTCGGACCATAGTCTGGAGATTTGACAGGGTCAGCGTTGTCATCGGTCATGGCTGGATGTTGTGTGTCCGCTGAGGAGAGAGAGAACCAGAGGATCAGTGAGGAGATTGAGAGGCAGCTGCGCAGGGACAACTGTCCAAGTCACATCATCCCTGTCCTGGTAAGAGGACAATCATTTAGTTAAGTAAAGACCTCAGCGTTAATGAGTTAACGAACATATCTAACTGTGATGGAGTTTAGAGAATATATATATATTTATATATATATATATTTATATATATATATAAACTTTGGCATCAAGGCATTTTAACCATGAACAACTGTTTTTTGCCTTTACTGCTTCCTGACTACACCTTACGATTATCATGACTTTTGGCTCTGTACTGAATGTTATGTTATGTTATTAACTGTCTGTTGTATAGAACACACTTTTACACCTAAATATCAAAGGTTGACATGTTTTTTTAGTTTACCATAAAAAGGTCAGAACATTGACACCGCCGCACCCCGGAATTTTATAACCTTTCATATCTGGCATGTTAAAGAGTAAACATTATCATAGGTTTCCCTGACAGACAGATAAAGCTCAACTGGCATTAAACACCTCTCAGATTCTCTCTTTATTTTATTAGTAATCATTGTTTATTGCGTCATTTTCATTATCTTTAGAGTAATGGACAATAAGTGTGTGATTCTGACGATTTGTTCCTGAAACATGAGATGGAGATGTATTTTAACCTCTCACACCACTGCTGTGGACTCAAACAGTTGACAGACATGACAGTGACACAATGATGCAAGACATGACTTCTGTCAGAGAGCAGATATTTTTATATCTATCCTGTCTCCATGTTTCCTTTTCCCTTACGCATCTCTTCCCTTGCTGCAGATGTCCTGCATCTGCTCTGTGCACAGAGGTTTTAGACTAAAACAAATACACTGTAAATAAGATGAGAAATTTACTATTTGCATAGAGCATTATGGAGACAAAGACATGGGTTGACATGAGACCGTTGTCCAAGTATCTACTTTCTTTTAAATGTAAATATACTCAGAAACTAACATGGACTGTGACCTTAGCTACGCCATTGTTCTGTGAGACACTATAGATCAACCAACTCATTAGACTTACTGGATACTTCACGGAAACCTTAATAAAACAGCCACAGGTAGTGCTGTTGTCTGTCAACAACAGGAAGATGAAAACTTTAACGTCACATAAAGGCATCAGTGGTAGCAGATATCAACATTTTTTAATCTTCTCTATGCTAAAGTCGCACTTAATGAAATAAGAAATAATAATAATAAACATATTTTATTTATATTAAAGTAATCCACATTGTGTAACATACATCTCTGCTAAGTTAACATGAAATGTTCAGTAGGTTTTTGACTGGTACATTGTTTGTACCAAATTTTTTGCATCACAAATGGGCAGATCAAAAGTAGTCCTGTTACATATTTACAATTGCATTAGGGTTCAGCGTTCTGACATTGTTCTAATTTATTTATTTTTTTATTTTAAAAAGAAAAGTCAGAAAAAAGCCAGACCAGCAAAGACAGGACCAGGTTGTACATCTTGTTGCATAGAGGCATCTAAGACCTTTCCAGATAAATTCAGAAATTATATACAGTACAATGGAGTTTGTTTTAGTCTAAGACTAACAACTCAACAGCACCTGCCCCTGTCAGGGCCTCAGTCGGTGGCGTACTTCACACACATTACTGGCTGCTGCAGGCACGCAGAATGCAAAAATCATGCAAAGTCTTCCCAGAGCAGGGTATTAGCTGCAGTGTTGCCTCCACTGTTCTCTACGAGGGGGGCTTCTAGTAAAAGCAGGCGTCAGCTACCCACAGTGGTCAAACCAACGTGAATCAGACATCCCATGTCATTTGTTTTGAAAATTATTCCCAGCTCACTGTACGGTAAATGGTTAAAGCCTTGTGGATAAAGGAAATGCTTAACATCAGGTTCTAAAAGATGAACATAAACCACTGAACAGTGACTCCTGGAACTTTTTAAGGCAGGGCCAGAAATGAATTCAATTTGAATTAAAAATTTTGATTCTACCTCCTCAACAAATGTAGATTATACAGGTTTGGGTTTTAGGTTTATTTAGCTAATGTTACAATCACTTGTAATCTGCTTATTTGGTTAGCAAATTGGTGCTGAACATGACATTGTTTTGAAGAAACATACTTATACCAGCATTATGTCAATGGAAAACATATAATTAACTTCATGTTTTCCCATGTAGTCAAAAATGTTCAAGTTGCTAATAATTTAAAGGACACAATTAAGGGTGTTAAATTAAGAAGGTAAACAAAATATACCTGTCAAGGGACAAACAGTTAATAAGCATACATGTACTTTAAGGTTAGCCCATATAGCTAAATTGCCAAAGAGTAGTTTTGGATAATGAGAAAATGGTAATATTTAAAGAAGATGGACAAAAAAGCTAAAAAGGTAGCTCCCCACTAGTTAGCCAGAAATAACTGGTATTTATCAAAAACAACAATGCTAACCTAAAATGTAGCAGAACAGCTAATAGCGGGAATCCCTACATTTTATTAAAGGTTTTATTAAAGGTTATTTAAGATATTGGACATTTAGCTGAGCTGCTATCTATCTTTGACTGGAACATTACTGATTAAAGAGAGTAAATTGTGCCTTTATAGTAGTTGTCGTTTATAGTTTCATAGTTTTATGAAACTATGTTCCTGGTATAACTCTCAGTTATATCAGGAACAATAACAAGAGATGAAAACAAACTCTGGCTAATACATACAATAAAATAATATATAATAATAAAACAATAATGAACAAATATTAATAATACAAATGAAATTTTTACTGTGCTGTACAATAAAGTTCTTTGAGAAAGTGAAGAAAAGTAGACGCACCAGGACATGTCCTGTTCAACCTCCCCAGCCCTCATCCTCCACCTCCCCCTCAACTCCAAGAAACTTGACTTGTAAAGAAGATGCATTCAAATGCAGATGATTTGTCTAAGTCTTGTTTTTGAAGATGTAAAGACTCAAGTGTTCACACGATGCCATGTAAAACAGGAAACGGCTGCATCTGCAGGGACACACAGACACACGCCTGCCTACCTTACATCACTCATTCTCAAATACACACATGATGTCTTCCAATTATCAGGACTTTTAATAATTGGGAATTTGTTAAACAAATGAATTCAACTTCAGTGAATCAGGAAATTTAAAATGTTGACAGGATATAGGACACACTGTGTTCCTGTGTGTAGAATAAGTGTAAAATGTGTGGGATGTGTGTCTTTTATTAAGCACCAACTGAAACCAGAGCTGAAAGAGAGCTGCGATATTTTGTGTCAAAATAGTACAAATTCTAGTTCCGTTGTTTTAAAGAAAAGACATCTGGATGTGCCCAGACTTTTACAGATGTCTGTTTGGTAGTCAAATAACACATTCAAATGTTTAGCCCGCACTGACGATCACAGTACAATTGTCTGTTTAGTATTTGCTCCATGACAACAAGATGAAGAGCTATTCTATTCTATTTTATTCTATTCACAAATGCATTTCCCAAAAAGTACATGTAATGAAATACTCTGATCTTCAAGTTTCAATTTACTCACAATTGATTTATCAAGCATGAAACACAGGCCTGATTAGTTGAACATAATGCTGCATTACTCACAGGAATGTAGAAAGACAAACAGGAAGATCTTCTTCAGCAGCTCCGAGTTTCGCTTTCTTTTTTTCGGTTTTAACTTGTAATCTGCTTTCCTCTAGTGGCCTACCTGTCACAATACATTGACTAACAGATACAAATTATTTGCAGAATAAAAAATAGCAGTCTGAGTTGACATTGTTACATTCACCAGGTACTGGAGAAAGTGGGAAAAGTACCTTCATTAAACAGATGAGGATTATACACGGAGGAGGATACACAGCCGAAGACAAGATGAGCTATGTCAAACTGGTCTACCAGAACATCTACACGTCCATACAGTCCATGGTCCGAGCCATGGAGGCCCTGAACATAGCGTTCTCTGATCCTCAGAACAAGGTAGACACGGAAAAACAATTCAGACCAGAACCTGATCTTCTTCTGCCGAATCCAACCTCCATTAAAAACCATTTCCTTCTCGACTATCAGTAGTTAACCTTAACTTTATGGCTGTCTGTTTCTACAGCGTCATGCCAGCTCTGTCCTGGAGGTGGAGGTGGACAAGGTGGAGCAGTTGGACCATGCAGTGGCCATCAAGAGTCTGTGGTGTGATAGAGGAATACAGGAGTGCTACGACCGACGTAGGGAGTACCAACTCTCAGACTCCACTAAATAGTAAGTGTATATGTATGATACATGGGATGTCCAATAATATCAGCCCCATATTAGCATAATTATGTAACATCTGTAAGAATTGTTATCAGTTTTTCCTCTGAAAAAATGGCTGCATATGAAAGTGAAACCCACTAGATAGTAGCATTGCAGTTCATTTTACTAATCTATTTTAATAATCAGGGGACTGTATACAGAATGCTGGAGCCAGCAACTCACAGTGGTGCAGAGAAACACTGCTTTACCCCATCACCTTAGTGAGCAGGCAGCACTTAACTTCCTTTACCACCAGGCCCCGCTATATCAGTATCGGTTAACTGATTTCAGGATCGGATATCAAGAATTTGGACAATATCAACATATCCAATATCAGCAAAAGGTTAATATCGGACAACACTAATATGCGTATATACAATACTGTATCATCAGTAAACAATTGGGAAAATAAAGGGGATGAAATAAGTATTTATTCTTCATTTCACTGCTTTTCAAATATGGTTATCAAGTATTTGCTGAATGTTTTAAATAAAATTAAAACAGAATATATTTGTCTATGCTCATAAGTTATAGTTTAACCTTAAGCCCAGATTCAGACATTAAAGTTCATGCACTTGTGTGCTCACCTTGGGTATTTACATTAATACATTAATGTAAATACATTAATAAGACATTATTACAGAGCAATCTTCTCCACTGTCCTTCAAATAAAAAAAAGAAATGATAAAATTAATTTAATTTTTTTTTTTTCTCTGCAGTTATCTCACAGACTTGGAACGGATTTCACAGCCTTCTTACGTTCCTGACCTTCAGGACATCCTCAGGGTACGAGTGCCCACTACAGGAATCATTGAATATCCCTTTGACATGGAGAACGTCATCTTCAGGTGAGACCATCAAATCACAGAGAGCTTAGTGTAGGTGTGGAATGGTTCTTTTCTGATTATGATGGGCGGCTTGCGTGGCAGAATGGTGGATGTTGGAGGTCAGAGGTCAGAGAGAAGGAAGTGGATCCACTGCTTTGAGAACGTCACCTCCATTATCTTCCTGGTGGCGCTCAGTGAGTATGACCAGGTCCTGGCCGAGTGTGATAACGAGGTGAGAGTTGTACTTGGGCAGTTCGGTGTCCTGTAGAACATTTCCAGAACTTTTTTTCTATAATATTTAAACGCTTCTTTCAGAACCGTATGGAGGAGAGCAAAGCTCTGTTTAAAACCATCATCACTTACCCCTGGTTTCAGCGTTCCTCCGTCATACTGTTCCTCAACAAGACCGACATTCTGAACGAGAAGATCATGTACTCGCACGTAGCCAACTACTTCCCAGAATTCACAGGTCAGTTTGTCTTCTACAGTGATTTTTGTTCTCTGTTTCTCCTCTGTCTTCTTCTTCTGCTACATTTACTCTTGTGGTGCTTGTTTTTCATATTCTGATCTACTTTGTTGGACTTCCTTTCCTCTTTTTTGCCTTCCTTACCTTTTTCTCATTTTTGTTCCTGTTTCTTCTTCTTCTTGTACTACTACTTTTCTTCTGCACCAATGTTTGTCTGCAGCGCCCCCACTTCATAGATAGGATTATTGAAAATCAAATCCCAAGTCAGTGCAGTCTCACCACTGTGGGACAAATAAAGAAAATATTAAAATTGAAATATGTATTTTTGCCAGCCCTGCAATAACTTACAGCTACCTATAGGGGAAGTAGACTGTAGACTCTTGACTGTAGATGCTGTCATTAAATCATCACCTACAAATGCTTGAGCCTAAACCTTTGAGCCTGAATTTCAGGACCTCAGCAGGATGCTGGAGCAGCTCAGGAATTCATGCTGAAAATGTACAAAGAACAAAACCCTGACAAGGACAAGACGTTGTACCATCACTTCACCTGTGCCACAGACACGGAAAATATCCGCTTCGTCTTTGTGGCGGTTAAAGACACCATCCTCAGACACAACCTGAAGGAGTTCAACCTGGTGTAAAGAGAGGAAGGACAACAGAGGAGAGACCTGAGTCTACAGGAGCTCAGAAGGGAAATAGAAAACACCATTAAAATAATATATTTTTAGGTCAAAATGTTTTCATTTCATAGAGAATTTATTCTGTTTACGTGTACAAATTGACTCTAGTGTAAAACAGCTGTAGACAACATGTTACTGTAGAGTGGAGAATGTGAATACTACTAGTTTTATCAATAAAGTGTGGACTATTTATTTATTAGATTCACAAACTACAATGCCTGAAAAGTTGACTAAAAGTTAAAACTCCAGCTAAAACTAAAGTCTGTAATGTGTGGAATTATTCATTAAATTAAATTTGTTTGTCAGACAGAAAACAAAATAAAGAATTCAAGTTACTGCACTGACCAACTTCATTTCATTTGTTCAATTTAAACTCATTTGGAAGTTAGGTGGCACAACAGTGGTTCCCGACCTCTGTGTCCCAGCTCATTAGTGTGCCATGAGAGATCATCAGGTGTACGGCAGGCAGCGTTCCCTAACCTTTTTTACCAATAACTGGTAAGGAACATTACATCAAAATAAAACATCTTTTCAACCCAGAGGGAATGTCTCTGTCAAGTTTGAATCCCGGTTAGGGCGGTTGGTACCATCCAGTGGACTCACCACCCACAGGAAGGTTCAGGGGGGTTGGTACGGTGCAGTGTACGGTGGTGACTGCTGCCCCTGCGATGGATAAGCGGATGAAAATGGATGGATGGATGGGCTTTATTCTGTCAGTATCAGTGTCTGAATGACCTACTGTTTTTAAACATTGACAGATTATCTTCGAATGAAAAAAGGTAAAGAGATATGTCAGAATTCTTTTTGAATGAAGTAAATTAGTAAAACTGAAGTACATTTGTTCACCGTGTCCCACTGCGGCCTGGTACCAAATGACCTACGGATCTGCACCCATCCAGACCCAGACAGGGGCTTGAGAACCCCTGGTCTCTGTGACAAGAAAGGCAGAACTTTCATATGAAATATGAAATATTCTTCCACTAGATGGCAGCAGTCTTAAGACTGAACACGGTAATTATGTGTCTATGAAGATTCTCAGTCAACCAGGTCATGGTCAAGGGTGAAAAGTTCTGTTAGACAACTGGATGTGAATTTTCTCAAAGAAGACGTATCATCTCTAATCCAAGAGGCTTCTTCAGTTCTAACTGGTGGTGGGGAGTACAGCAGATATATACTCTGGGTGATAAAGAATAAAGCTACTTCAGCTCCACACTGTTAGGTGGGGCCTTGGGGTCAACTGTAAAAGTGTAAACAGTCATTAAGAGTCTGATGGGTCATTGTGGTCCCCATCAGAACGGTTTAGGTGACCTGCCTCTTTGTTGTGTGAAACTGAGAAGAATCTTTTGGGTATTGTTCCTAAAAGTGCTTTGTATGTGGGTGATAGGTTGTGTCTGAGTCCACCTCCTCTGTTGAGTGATGGTTTTTCCAGGTTGACAAAAATGGCTTCTTTTACCCCTCTCTCAAACCATCTG